TGAATCAGAGAAATTCTCGTGTGCAGAAAGAAAATCTGCAATTTGTGTGTTTCTAAGTTTATATATATATGTGTGTGTGTCCATTATTCATTCGGTCGAATGGAGTTTGTCCAGAATTAGAAGAAATTAATACGGTACATAAAATGCGGCTATTCAGCGTGCACACAATAATTGGTTGAAATGAAGTGTACTACGGAAAATAGAGTGCCACACACGAGCCGAAAAGCGGCAAACAAATATAAAATAAAATAAATTATGGCATGAGAATGGAATTAAAAACAAAAGGAAGTCAAATAACAGTGTTCAACACTAACAGACGACGATGTGACATTACTGCTCGTTGCCGTCTTAATGCTCGTCTCATCCACATCTAAACGCGCGCACACACACACATATAGAAAAGTCAAATACTAGGAAAATCTATAGCAAATAAATTCACTAATTTCACAGCGGTTGTTTTAAAATGGAAGACCTGACTGATTTAGAATCGTTCGTTCACAGTCTTCGTTGTTTTCTCTCTTTTTTCTTTTTACCGCCAACTCATTCACCGCTTTATTGCAACCGCTTTAATGTACAGTAATAAAACTTTGTTATTTTTTCCCAACTTTCCTTTTTGCGAGTGCAAATTACTTTTGCACAGTGTGGGTCGAAGCGGTATTCGTATTATTATTTTTTTCTGCTGTTGGTGAATTCAATCAAATTGAAGAAAAAAAAAATTCGTTGAAAATATTTAACCGCTCGTTTGATTCGATTGGGGACAAACGATTCAAGCGTAAAAGAGGAAAAAAAAACAATCTATAGTATATTTTAACTTGTGGTTAACAAAATTGAAGGAGTGACATCGATTCAAGTGTTAAATTGTCACATTTCTCACATTTCATTACCAATTTTCCGCACTATTTGTATTTCTAACATTATTCGTCGCATTTCACAGTTGGATCGTCAGATTGTTTACATTACGGTGTGCACAGATGACGATTGGACGATTACGGCGTATGCCATTCGGTTAAAAAGCCAAAGTATGAATGGAAAGTGTGTGTCATGTCAGAAGTAATAGAGAATTGACTCAAAAGTCAAATGAAAAGACACACTCATGTTGTAACAGAAGTAGAATAAGTAGAATGGAAGAAAAACGAAAAATTTATTCACATTGTATCCGCATGTGCACATTTTGTCTCATCTAAAGGACCATCATCACATCAAATACGGAAAAAATCAAAACATACAACAACATACGTACAAACAAATTCTAAACACAACGCGATCGCTTGTATTTTGACATTTTCTCTCTCTCTCTCTCTTCGTTCCAAAACAAGGCATTAAAAATAGATACTACCACAGTAAATACATGACATAATATAAAGCCAAGGCATACGATGTGAACGAGTACAATGTTGAAGGCAGCAATACCAATAGCGATATTTAGAGAAATCACATAGAAAACAATTTTCTATTACGGTGAAACATTTCTCGTCCACATATAAATAAATTTCAAAACGTAAACTGAGCTCTCGGTGAATTACACATACTCGCGCTCATGCACACACACACACACACACTCTCATCCATTGACAGTTAGAAAAAGAGAGAAAATACCGTGCATCTGTAACAAAAACAAGGAACCAAAATCATTCCGATTTTCTATGCATACAATAAATACTCACATGTGTGAAAAACATTTGGATGCATATGTAATCATCCATAAATTTGTTTCTCTCTACAATATTGTTATATTAAAAAAAAAAAAAAACAAAGCAAAAGAAAACAAACTCTTGAGTTTCCTCTCTGTCTCTGCTGCTGTTGATTCTTCGGTTCTTTGGCACTGGCACTCGAGTGAAAATAAAACCAAATAAAAATACAAATGAATTTTGTTTTTATGAAAATGAGACATACACACACACATCGAATAAAAATGGCATAACGATGCAAAAAAAAAAAGAAAGTAAAATAGAATGGAATCCAAAAAAAATGTAGGAGGATGATAGAAAACAGAGAGAAATTACAATTCACTGAAACTAATAATAAGTAATACGATAATATAATACGAGTAACGATGCATACTTGAGCTAAAATATACAATATCGTCGTGCAAAACTCGAACGAGTTACGTTTGTTCGTCCTTGTTAGTGACATGAAAACATCAACATCACACACATATTTGCACACATAAAAACAACGAAATACAATCGGTGAATTGCTGCTGCTGAAGCTGCTGTGTGTATATGATGACTATTTACCCACTAAAATATGCATTCAATGCTTGAGAGAATAATTTGTACCTCAATGCATCCAGGCTGTTTCTGTCTCTCTATGTGTCCTTTGCCATATCATTTTTTCCAGGACACACATTAGCTCAACGATAAATTGTTGGCCATTGTCAAAGGGAAAAATCTCACGGTATATGCGCTCAACAAAACGGAACCCGCTTGCATATAGTTAAAAGGATAAACTCAAGTGTGCAATGGAAAACAAGCAGCAGCTCAAGAATGATGTACAATGTACATGTATGCTTTTACTCGCTCGCTTTGTCCCCTAGTTTGAGCCGATGAAAATTAGCACAATAAATGTTATTGTTTTGATCATGATTAGCGCTAAAATCTTTTTGTGCACTGTAAACTGTGTGTGTGTGTGTACACTAAGAGCACTGGCAAACACTTTAACAACAGTAGCACCGGTGTACCACCGGACGGAACCAAAAGTGAACATAAGTCAGCAGCAGCCGAACGAGTGTGCAACACATAATAAGCAATATATTATCTTCTTGGTCCAAAAGAGAAAGGGAAAAAGATATGGATTTCGGGGTGACGTAAGAAAAATCAGCATAAAATGGAAAATTGTAGAATTCGTATTTTGTGTACGGCAAGTTTAAAGAGTATGAAGCACAGAAATAGAGCGCACTTCATTGTCATAAGTAGAGAAAAAGAAGAAGCAAAAGAGAAAAAAAACCATCATCCAAATAGTATACCTATTGTGACTACCGTTATATTTTGTACGTAATTCGAAGCAAACGCGCGCAACAACTATGGTCGAGACAAGATGAGACAGAGCTCAAACGGATGATGAGCGAAATGTTAAGTTACAACGATGAAACACGGTTTCAGCATCATCGAAAAGATGAAGACGATGATGATTAGTGCTGTATGAATTGTTTACTGGATCACATCTAAGCACATAAAAATACAGACATTAACAAATAGTATCCACTTAAGGCAGAGTAAATATTTATTCAAATATTGAAGCAGAATGCTGATAGAAAAGCGCCAGAGCAAACGAACAAAATAAAGAATATAGCCTGCGATAAACAGCCACGAGAGAGAGGGGCTTTTTTTCATCTTTAGTCATCGGTTCAATGTGATTTGTTGTTCTAATGGTGGGCGAGACAGTGCCGCGGCGAATTTAAACTTTTAAAATTGGCGATAGTGGCGGTAATCTTGTGTGTGCTAAACAAAAACGAGTGTTTATGACATTGGTCGATGTCTCAAACTAAGATCTATATTGAAGAAATTTATTCATAAGGACGATAGAATAGTTGAAAGTCAGTATTGAAAAACGTTCAACTAAACGTTCAACGCTGATTCACTTAACTAAATAAGATTTGCACGCTTTATTTTTCTCGGCGTATTTCAATGAGATAATGTGAAATGAATACGCAAACACACTCAATTCAAAACACTAAACAAGTAAGCGAGCGAGAAAAAAAAACCGACACCAAGTTGATGGTACTGAAATAACCGGAGAAGACAAAAAAAAGCCACGAAAAATAAGCGCTTCGCTAAAACTCAACCCAATAGCGTCGAATATAGAAGAAAAGCGGGACACAGAGAAAAAAAGGCGAAGAGCATAATGAACGAAAATGTATATGCGGTGTCGCTGAAATTGCGGATAGATTTCAAGGAGCGTGCACACGCTAAAGGATGACAGTTTCGAATAAATCATTTGAGTAAATGGATACATGGAAAACAATCACCCGAGCTAAATCAAGTTCAACTTCATAAAAATGGCATAAAGATGACATGGTTGGGGAAAATGACACGGTACAGATGACACGCAAGAACGTACACAAACAAACGAAAAACATCAAGCTACTACAATAAAGAGAGAACGCAATTTAGAAGAAAAATGCATTTATTTACTTTAACACTTCAATTTTCATTTTGAAATGGAATTCACTTAAAGGCCTCGCTCGACATTCTCTCCATGGGGTGGCAACATTTTTGAGTAGAAAAATAACACTGACTGTTGAGCTCAAATTTGTGAGAGAGAGAGAGAGAGAGAGAGAGAGAGAGAGAGAGAAAGAGAGTGAAATGTAGAGAAAGAGAAAGGAAAAAAAGTGAAATCTCAAGTCCAAAATGGGATCGGTGGTGTACAGGGATATCATTTGCATATCAAGGTGCATTGGATACTTTGACTGAGCTCAATTCAATGGAAGCAAATAAATATTTACAGACCATGATTCCATTGTATTTTGTTCAGTTTTTGGACATATGAATGCGTAAAACAAAAGAAAATGTCAAACACTCGCGCGCACACACACACACGCTCTTATAAATATACGCCCTTTTTTGCATTCATATTAATGCAAAATTAAAATGTATTTGACAGACATTATATAAGTATAATATGAATATGGAATGATGAAGTGAATATGATAATGAAAGAGAGACATATAAGAGCAAGAGAGAAAATTCGAATTGTCATTCGCATATGATAAACAAATGACTAAACTATTTATTTTTCGTTCGGTTTTATCACCACGTTTTGATGAGTGCCGACCATTATCTAAATGTTATATATACATTCATTCATCTGGCAGAACTTTGTAATCATTGGGGCTTGTTCAAAATTTCAAAAGGCTAAAGTGCATTCGTTTCACTAACTGCAAGTAGTAGTAGACGAACAATGCATATAATATGTGTATTTTTTTTACCCATCTTCCTCTTCTTTCATGTGTATTTTAATATATGTTTTCTTTTGCATTTCTCTTTCTATTTTTCCTGCAGCAAAGGCGACAGACGACATAACATCGTGTACGGGACCTTTGTACAATCAATGTGAAATTCAAACGAATGCACGAGTACGTACATATTCAGAGCAATTAGCTCCAGTTAATTGATTGTGTTGTTTTAAGGCGCATGTGAAAGTACATCACGGTGTTTTTTGAAGAAAAAAAAATACTCTTTCAAACGAAAACATTCCGTGCATTGTCATCCGACTATCAATACACAAACAGTGCTAATATTGCATTCCATCCAAAACGGCTACAAAACGAAAATTTAACTTGTAGTGATATTGTATTTGTGAGAAAATTGTGGAAAAAACATTGACCGGTGCATTTATACAGTAAAAATAAAAAAGTGGCCCGCAAAATACAGTTTAAATGCAATAAAAACCCCTTTTGCATACTTAAAATATAGATAGAAATAAAAGTGCATTTCGCGAGATAGAGAGAAAAATCCCGACCTGACAAAACAAAAAATAAGGTGTTGTAAAAATAAAAAACAATAATAATAATAAATCATTAAAACAAATGATGAAAATTCGGAAGAGCAACAAAACGTCAACAAAGCGAAATAATAGAGAATTAAAAAGCATCACCAGTTACAGTCATACGAAAACTTACAAAATGAAGAAGGCAAATAATAGCAGTTGCAGTAGTTTGTGGCGGCGAGTCCTTAGCATCGGTTTACTTTTACAAATTCTGTTAAATTGCGGTAAGTTTAATTACATTTACACTCGTTCACTTTCCCGTTTTATGCTATTCTACTTATTTTCATTTTAATTCTCTAATTTTCATTTGGTTCGTCATTTCTCTTTTACCACGATCTCTGCAAACGGTGTTTCTCTGTTTTACTTTTAAATTTTTCCCGTTTTTTTCCCTCGCGTCCGTTATATTTATTTTTGGTAGTATACGTGCATTTGGTGGTTTTTATTTAAAAAAAACTGTTCCACTTGTAAGTTTCAAGCGAATAGAAAAATTACCCGAAAAAAGCAGAGCATTTTTTTGTCCGCTTTTAATGGACATTGCGATTTGTGCAATGGAAAAATCTCGCATCTTTCTTTAGATGAGGGGGGACGGGTTGCACAAACAAGCAGAGCGTACATGACAAAATCATAAACAACAACGACGGCGAAAAGATTTTTTCCTTAATGTTCGTTTTAACAGTACGCTGATGTGTCAAAGTGAGAATGTAGACAAGCATTTAGTTGCTGGGCATCAACAACATTCTACTTTATGATTATTATTCTGAAAGTACTCGACACTAAAAAGAAAATGCTAACAAAAAAACCATAATTATTATTCTTATTGGTGAAAACAAAAAGGCCTTTGAGATTTAAAACATAACAAAACAGCAAATGTACATATATTAAAACAAAACTACCCATTTTGACCTTCGCTGATGATTCGTTGAATTTTCAAAAGCCAGCAAAACAAAAAAACAGCAACAACAACCGTGGTAGCGACTTCACAGTCCGCTAAGAGGGTAGCCATGCTGACAATACAATTAATAATTGTGCAAAATATGTATATGGATTTTTTTTGCTTGTGTGTGTCCGGAGTGCTCACACCCAAAATACAATGAACGAAAATTGGACAAAGCATGTGCAAATTTCGAGCCCTGCTTTAAACAAACAAAATTTACAACATTTGGCAGAAAAATGAGGATCGGCTTCTTTATTTCGATGGTTTTTTTTCTCTTTCTTTCCGAAATACCAAAATGTGAGCCAGATGTGATTCTTCTCTTTGAAACTCTCCCTTCAGGAAATGTTGCAAAATATTTTTTTTTCATTCAGTTCAATTCAATTTGAGACCATTTTGTAATTGAAATTTCAAGAATGAAAATTGAATTGTTTCAGTGGATGATGATGAAAGCAAACTGTAAAAGTTGAATGCATACATTTATTAAATGTCACATAAACGATTTTTGATACATAATCACCAATCGACGTAACAAAACTCGTGTATTATCGAATATACAAAGATATTGTTGTTAAAACATTTATAGTTGCCAACACTTCAAAAGATTTAACTTGAAAGTCTTCTATACATGCAAAATTGCACTCTATGCTTCAGATTTCATGGTTTTTTTCTCTCTTTTTCTTTGATTTTCATGGGAAACATACACTGTTTTAGTTGCAACTAAGTTGCATTATATGGAAAAATAAAAAAAGCTACTTGAAAAAAACAAAATCTCTCCAGCAATACGAATACAGCGTAACCGCGTTTTAATAAGGACGTTTGAAGAGCCATCAAATGTATTTTTTCCCTGTACAAATGTTATGCAATGCTTAATTCTGCATTTACGATTCGAAGGCGTTTCAAGAAGCAAAACGATAAAATTTGCTAACGCATTCGCATTTATGCTCGTGATTTTTTCTTCTTCTATTTTTAGTCGCTTCAAAAAAAAAAAAAAAACATACGGTTATCCGGTGGAATAATTCGAATCAGTTCACAGTTCAATAAAATAAAATCCAAGTAATCGTGTAGTTCACATGCTACATATCTACATGTCGTTTTCGTTTAATAGCAGCAAGATGCAGGTTATGACTTTTCAGAGAAATTCAAGCTCAATTTAAATTGCTTGCATAAAACGGCATCGAATGATGATGAAGATAAAAAAAGGGCAGAAACATGAAATCTGTATATTTTTTGGGGGAAAATGATGTTCAACCAAATTAACAATGGAATATTTTTTTTCCAACGCCCCAAAATTGAAAAAAAAAAAATATGATAACAAGAACACGAACGAAAGATTCTCATTTCTACGAATGTATGTGAGCACTGAACACGCAAACATTAAATAAAAACAAAAGACGAATACACAAGATACATTGTATTTTATTATCATTGTCATGTGGTTCAAGTGATCCTTTTTATAATTCGTAAATAAAATATACGCGCACACAATAAGAAAGTGCATATATGTTTATTTATTTGAATTGTGCCTGAGGTGATATTTAATAATATTGTTGGTATATGATGTTTGTGTACGAGAGTTTGTTTTGTGGTTTTAGTTTGTATGATAATAATAAATGTTATATAAACTGGAAATCAGCAAACGTAGCGACTACGATAAGGGAGCAATCCCGTTACAAAGTACATCATTACGTTATGTGTGTGTGTGTGTCTTTGTGCCTGTGTGCCTGTATGTATAAATTAACAACTGCAAAAATATAAGTAAATTCACCACCATTAGCGCAATTGTGCTTTGAAATGCAAAAATATATTTGACATATGTGGTGTATTTGCTTATCTATCTGCCTCGCACTCTGTCGATTTTGCATAAGAATACTAAATATACGAGAGAGTGAAAGTGGGAGTGTTAAAGTTCATCTTCGTATATTTAGCAAATAAAAAGCGCAACAATCATGAAAACGAAGAAGAAAGGATGCGGTAAGAAGAGAAAATGAAAATGTCGTCTATTTGATTCGAATAGATATGTGCGTTTGGTGAACATTTGTTTGAATAAAACATCGATCGAATGTTTTATGTTATATTTTACGGTAGCATATCAACAATTCCTTGGCAATGCCTCGAAAGCACATATACAAATACAATGTATCCTTATATTCCAGAGGAATGGAAACGCTAAGAAATATTCGAATCCCAGCGAAAGCGTCTTACAAAAAAAAAAGAATTATTTATTTGCATTAGATGAGACACAATGCGTACGGTGAACAATATGAATTGTGTAAATAAAAGGAAAAATTGAACATGAACATAGAACAAGTCGAGGCACAGTCACAAACCGTAAAAGAAATTGCGTACATCATTCATCACATTATTGTTTTCTTTCTTTTTCTTTACCGCTCTCCTGTTTTCTCTTTACTTATATAACGACTTAGAGCGCAATGCTATTGTTGATAGTAAAAATGTGAATAAAAAGTGCGACGAAAGAACGCACGAGAGAGCAATCGACACAATGACAGTGATCATATGTGCCGTGGCTCCACATATTTACAATTGTGAATACAAGACGAAATGTGTGATAAATAAAAGGAAAAAAATAAACAAAAACAAACCCCATGCATTCAAATTGCGAATAATAATCATCATAATAGATTGTAATGAGGCGTTGGGTGTGCGCATTTTATGTTGCCGTTGAGAATCGGGGGGTCAGTTACCACTATACAACCACTTTGATTGACACCATAATATTTATGTAGTGGTTTCACACATTCGTTGTTATCATTGTCGAGCGTTTCATTTTCATTGGTTTAAAACCAAGGCGCGCACGTCCTTTTTTTTGCTATTTGGTTTAAAACCGCAGACATATACACCGAATTAAATATTTTTGTGTACATGCTTCTGACATTTTAACACTTGACAAAGACGAAAGCGGAAAAAAAAGTGTTCGAATTTTCTTTTTTCGTTTGGTATTTCATGTTTCGTCGTTATTTTGATGTTTTTGTTTCAATAGTAAGCCCCCTGAATTGAAATAGAAGAAAGACAATCCAATGTGCTATGATGAACCATTACACATCATTTTGACGAGCAAGTAGCGTACTTAATGGCAGACGTTGTCAACAAAAATTTCGTAAAAACAATGAGTAAAGCATAGCGCGCGCGAGCTTGATATACACAGGAAAGACAATGAACTCAATGAGGAAAATGCCTAAATAAAAATGAAACAAAGAAGAAGAAAAAAAGGGAAAGAAAATGTAAAATATAAAAATAACACACAACAAACGTAAGGCGACAGGCGTGAGATTAAGAATAAGAATTCACTTTTAACACTTCGACTTTTGTTTGCAACTCATTTCGATTTCAGTTTCTTTGACGGGCGAAGTGGCGTTGAGAATTCTTAACATTTCTTCTTTCGATACACTTGGAAAGAAAGAGTGACTTCATCACATATTCTCTATATCGTTCTTCCGTCCAAACCTACCATGTACAGTACTTGAGACATATTTTGTTCGTAGACGCTCGTGCACCACATTATTCCCACACCAAATGCCATTCGATACGATTTGGGCCCTTTCAAACGAAAATTATTGCTTTTCTATTGCTGTGTCGTCGTGACATTTTTACTTTCTTTCTTGTCTCATCATTATAAAATGCACGATTGATGTACGCTGTGACTGAGAAAATCGACATCTATTATTCATTTTGTCTATTTTAATGTAAACTTTATGCGTGGATATTGTGCCATTCATTGGCAATCGCCATGCAAACAATTGTTTGCTCAACGGGAAATGCTATTGTAAAAAATAAATGACTTATAAGTGAAGTTAGCAAAAGTGGAGAAGAAAAGACGCGAATTTACTGAAAGTGTAAATATTAGAAAGAGCATCAGAAAAGTTATGCTCATCCTGTTGGTGGGTACCAGAAGTGATGGAAGAGAGAGAAAGACACTGTGACCACACTAGCTCACACAATGTCACACAGATATACAAATTCCTCTATAATACAGAGGAATTAATTTGGCGAATCTTCATGTTAGATTGCCACCATGTGACGCAAGACATTCAACACAATGCATATATTGATGACAAAGAGAATGTTTATGGAAGGCAATAAGATTCGCTATCCGACGAACTCAACCGGATTGAGTCAATAAATCGGTGGGAATGTTTGCAACAGTCTATAGAACTGGTAAATCTCAAATATATGGACGTTTAACCGGAAAAGTATTGAAATCAATTCGTCTCACAAATGCAAAATGTCATTTACATTCAGCGTATACTTGCGCACAATCATTCAAGCAATAATAATCTGACAAAATGGAATACGATCCCAATTCAATGGAACAACGAACTTCATTCAGTTCAATGGTTACTGCGATGTAGTTGGAAGTGATACTCTCACGAACGCTGTCAAGGTCATGTTATCTAAATAACAATGGTATTTACCAAAATAATACAATCGTCAGTCGTTCACAATCATTGGCAACAAATCTGTGTGCCGCAACAATAAAGCAATGCGAATTTTGATAAAAACAAAACAGAGATAATGATATAAACCGAAATTGAAGAGAAAAAGCGCAAAGAAATTTAATAGAAACTGTAGGAAAAAGTTGCAAAAGAGATAAAGGATAACCAAGAAAAATGAGTGTGTAGTCGACATTTGGTGACGTAGGCTACAAACAGTTTGATTAGATGTTAATTTTTGGAGTGCAAAGTCGAAAGATGCTATGGGATAATTTTCATGTATGCTCAATGTTCGTACACTTCGTATGCATGAAGATGGAATGATACGTAGTGTATAAGATGAAGAAGAAAAAAAAGAAGAGACGGAGAGAGAGTGAAAAGAAGGAATAGAACACACTAGAGACATTCGCACGTGCACCTTGAATGAGGGAATAAAGTGCAGATAGAATGTTGTATGCATGGTTTGTAACATGGTTACACCTCAACACTTAACAATTGATGAATATAAATGGCATAATAAAATTCGCAATGTAAGGAAAGCAAAGAAGAAAAAAAAAACATCTTATCTAATCGAAGTATGGTGTTTGCACTGATTCTTATTAACCAAAAATTCATTATGCGTGCATGTACGAATCTTTGTGTTCGTGTAGAATCTTCACTCATTTTGGCAATGATAAGTGGCAGCAACATTATGATATACATGTGTGAACATGAACATGGAATGAATCGAGCGTGAGGTGAAGATGTGAATCAAACTAGGCCGAACACACACACAAAAGTTGATATGAATGCGATGATGAAGAAGCCACTTAAAGATCTCATGCAAATCAGCCATTTTTCTCAATTGGCAATTTCAAGCGCGTTTTTTTCGTCTCTTTATACGGCTTCCACTTTTTCTTTGTTATAATTGTATGTGAAACGAAGGAGGAGATTAATCAAGACACCCATCACCATCCAAATCACTTTGCTGGTATGGAATTAAGAAAATATTTTTTTTCTTGTTGAATTTCACACACATGCATATAAAGATTGTCAGACATGTTAATCTAAGCACAATGACACCATATATAAATTGAACGAATCAAGCGCGTAAGACATCGGCATCGGCATCAGCAGATTAAGATTAAAACTCACACATTTGCCTATGTAATGTCTGATTTTCTTCACATTTTATGAATATATGGGCAAATGTAAACAAATATACATTGTATAATTTACCATAAAATGCACATGTGATAAGAGAAAGAGAGCGCGCACGAGAGAGAGAATGAGTACTGCGCAAACACAAGTGACAGGAACACAAACATAAGAAGCATTCATTAGAACTTTCGTATAAATATCTTGTTGAAAGTTATCGTTAAGTTGAGTTAAGTTAAGCCGAAGCACTTTACCAGAGCACGTTCATCTTTCTCTTTCTCTCTATCTTTCTAAGTGGCGGCATTTTTTGGTGTGTCTACAATGGGCTTTTCCTCTATTGTTGTGATAAGAGTGATAAGTTTGTGGAAACCGCGTCAAAAACACTGTCACACACATAAACGCACATACATTTGAGATGAAAACGTTGAAAAACCACTTTTTCTTTATCCATACATTTTCCATCAACTTCTGACAATGAGGCAATCCTCTATCTATCTCTCTCTCTCTCTCTCTTCCACATTTAACGTGGAAGATGTAAAAACGCACTTCATATTCGATTTCAGTGAGTTTACATGATCATCGTGAAGAATAGAAAAATTAAGCACGCAAGCAATGCCATTCAAACACCTTCATCATTATTATTACCATCATTGCACGTTGTATGCACATTGTCTGCTCAATTCAATGCGTCATGGTTTTACTTTGTTTTTGCTTTTGTGCGTTAATCTGATGTAGAAATCAAACGCGGTGAACACAATTTTCCGTTTAATTACTTTTGCTTTAATGTAAATGAATAAATAAGCGCTTACAAAAGTGTGTGTGCATTAAACCAGGATATATCACATGATTTGACATAGCACGTTGTGTATTGCTTCTAAGTTTTGTGCTATATGTGTTTCATTTTTCACACTATATCTCTCGCCTTCTCATGAGTGTGCTGATTTTCTCTAAAAATGGTTTGTGCTCCACATATGAAGTTGAAGACATTATTTCGATTACTTGTTGTTACGTCGTGTTTATGTTGAAAATTACAGTACACAATATACTTGGAGAGTTTGTTTCAATGCAATATCATCTAAATATTTGATTTCTTTATGAATTTTAAAGAATATTTAAGTATTCTTTTGCACAACTATGGATCGTTTACGTTCACAAAAGTTGCACATACTCTTCGTTAAAATGTGTCATCAACATAACCACTTAAGTGAAACGCGCGAAACAACAGTATCATCATCATCGTCGTCATCATCATCATCATTATCATCAGCGGAAACACAACAATGAACACCACTTAACTATGCCATAACCAGCGACGAAATTTTCAACGAATTGAATTCATGCACTGATTTGATTACGAAATTCACGCGCACTTTTAAAAGCCACCACAAATCACTAATTACCATAATTGCATACGGTTTGTTTGTCGGTGTATTGTGTAAGCAAGAACTACCAACGCGTATGCATTATAGATACACAAAAGAAAAACAACAACAATTTGTAATAGAATTTAAAATTAACCAATAATAATACACTATCCACATGCATATTTTTGTTTTATTTTCTTTTTATTCAATTTTAAACATAATCCATATATTTAAAAACGATTTTTTCAATATTTCATATAAAATAGTAATTATGTTGATTAAATTGTCGATTGCACTAAAAATGGTGTCTATTTCTGGTTGCCCCGCAAAAGAATTGTTGTTAAAGGTGTGTTGATTATAGTAGAGCGTCAGCCATGCGCTGCGAGTAAAAGTAGCTAGTAATAGTAACAAAGAAATCTTATGAGCTACCAATATTATGCCGATATATTTGCGTCCAATGTGTCAACAATTGAATCGGCTATCAACACTGAACTGGTGGAGAAAAATGAACCAAATATTGCTCCACCCACATAGTAAATAAATAGGCCAAGCATCAAAATTCGAACGAATCGATCGACACAGTACATTCTGTAAATCGAAATGTGCATTGATTTAATTGATTGAATTATAAAATAGGTTTGAAGGAGAAAAATAAAAGCACATACACTTTCATGTGACGTCTTGCAGCTGGAATTGTCTCATCGCTCTCCTTCAAAATGTACAATCTGGCGGCATGAATGCAGTGCTCAAAATATTCGTACATATCAATTTCTAAAAACGTTAGAAAAGCATAATAATAACAACATTAAATGAATAATTTCATGTGGTGTATTATTTATGTCAAATCGGTTGCACTCGATATACATACGTTTATCCTCAATAGCGTAGCGTTTTGCTTCGATTTCATTAATTATTGTACGCATATACAGTACATTGCTGTTGTCAAAGTCCCATTGATTGTTTGCATAGTATTCGAATACATCGAAACCTTTTTGGATTCTTCGTTGAACCCGGCACAGTCTGTTTTTATGTGAATGAGAGAACATTGACATTTAATTAATTGGCCAATTATCATTGCAATGGTAAAATATGAAACAAAACAAGCGAAACAAACAAGAGGAAGAGAAGACACACAGAAAGTGGAAAACCCTCGAAAACGAATCTTATTTTTTCATTCTGCTGTTGTTATTGTACCACACGAATACTTACACAGGCGGATATCGAAGACAGAACAATAAGCAATCGATCAAAATAGCTGGAATCCAATGGAATAGTATACAACAGATGTTATGATGCAAGCGATTACTCTTCATTGAACCGCCTGGATACCAAACAACGCCATTTAGTGGCAATTTGTTACAAATTATCCAACGACCACAATCAATCAATTCTTTCCAAGACACTTTGATTTCGGCTGAACTCACCAAATGATAAACACGTCGATCGTAATCTCTGTGCAATTTGCAAAACGAAAAGAATTTACAATGAAAAATGAAATGCAAATGAAACGAATTTACATACTTGTTGTAGACGAAATTCCATGACGAAACCATAATTCCGTTAACGGCATAATCAACCGGCAAATAGTCACCATAACTGCTTGAATTGCAATACATCGAACGAAGTACACCTTTACCAGCGCCAATAAGCAAACCAGTGGGTCCGTTAATATTATCGGTCCAACCTTATGAATAAATGAAAATAGTCAATAAATGAATTCCACACTTCATTTAATGTTTTTCTGTCCAACCTGGGATCGGTTCATATCGAATCGGAATTACAATTGACGGACGCATTATAACAGCTGGCATTTCATTCATTTGTTCGACAACCAATGCTTCCGATAAACACTTTGTGAACGCATATGTATTTGGAAATCCGCCCAAAATTCTACAAAACAAATACAACAGACCAATGCATTTTTGATAAGAAGAATAAGAAGAAGAAGAACGGGGTGTATAAGCAATAATTGACATTGCACAAAATACTCACTGTTTGGTCATCGTATGCACAATATCCTCGTCAAGCCATTCAATCGATTTAATGATTCGATGTGGATCAGCTGGTGCTGGATATGGTTTTTCCATGAGTAATCTTTCATTCAAGTGACAGTATGATGTCGATACATAGCAAAATAGCTGCAGAAAACATCAAATAATTGATAAATTATCGAAAAGTTTGGTGTTGAAATGGAAAAATTGCAATTGTTGTTCTATAAATTGGCAATTTTCAATCTATTTTTTTTTGCTTACCGCCAATTTCTTGAATGTTTTACTCAGTTCGAGCATCAGTTTGGTGCCACGGGTATTCAGCAAAACAGCACGCTTCAATGTTTCGTCGAAACGAACGGTGGCAGCACAATGATAAACAATTGAAACATTTTCAGCTAACAATTTTCGATCGTCATCCGAGATGCCCAAATCAGGTAACGAACAATCACCGGAAATCACATGACATTGATTAACGATCGTGTCCAGTCCTCGAGTTTCTTTCAATCCGTCAAATAACTAGAAAAAAAAACAGTGAAAACATTTTTAACTCTGTGCACTTTTGTTTTTTGAAACAACAAATGACTTTTACTTAAATTGAAATACGAAAATCGAAAATTTCAAAACAAATGCAATCAATTGATTTATAAAATGTCAGTAATGTCTATTGACGAATTAGTTATCATGATTCATGACGAATATTGGCGATGGCGATGCAAAACATTGAGAAAACAAACTAATATTTCAAGGAATCAAACTGACTGGAGTCAAATTGAATGAAATTGAGATATATTTCTTGTGTTGGCACGTTTTTTTTTAAATTTGGAACAGAGAATTGTAGCCGAATAAATCACGTAATTTTGACATGCTGTCAAAATAAAAGAGAAATTCACAAAATTCCATGGTTCAAAAGACCGTACATACATTGCCAATAAATAAGATTATGCAGCAATCTCGTCAATGGCCGAGAACTGTTGTTAACTTATAAAACCTAATTAAATATCAATTAATATGTATATAATTTAATAATAAACGGCCTTCTTCACATCGGCTTTGAATCAATTTCCATTCGATTACGAAATAGGCACGATATATGAGCACCTAATCTATTGAAATGTTCATCTAATTTTTAACAATTATAACATTGATAATGCACATTAGCCTTGGATATTTCATCTTTTTTTCTTCTCTCAATTCATTGCCGTCCATTGAATGACAGTTACCATCGGTTGGAGAAAAAAATGTGCAACAATGTCTTATGACCAGACAATGTGAAATTTGACACATAGTATAAACTGTTAATGTCAACAACACTACAAACTAATCGTATCGGTATAATAATCGTATGGCACTTGGCCGCCTTTCCTTATTCGGTCAAATTCTGGCATATTATTCAAAAATTCTTGAATGCAATTTTTTTCATTTGATTTTTTGAAAGCTTGCATAAATGGCGATATTTTTGAAGAGAACAATGCATTCAAGAACATTTATACAATGAAATTGTTTATCAAGATATTTAGCTACTTACCACATTGCTAAAAATATCAGCCAAGCGGTCAGCCGGCTGTTTGCCTCTCTTTGGTCGAACAAGCAAATAAATTTTTTCTATTTCTGGACAAGTTCTACAGAGAACGAGGTATAAATAAGTGCATCAGTAAAATAAGTGGTAAAAAAAGGGTACGGAATTTCATTCAAAATAAATGTAGTTATTTGTTGAATTCCGTCGTCTGACATTTCTTCATTCTACGTGAATATTTTGAAAGAAGCAAGAATGCACGTGACATGGTCACCAAAATCAAACAACAAGAAATTACCTCAAAAATTTTTCAATTAAAACTTTGCCCAAGAATCCAGTTCCACCTGTTATAAGAATGCTGCGATTTGCATACATTTTTCGTACACGATCTTCCTCAACGCTATCGAGAGCTTCCACTTTGGCTGTGTGTTCCATATTTTTATTGTTTCGTCGTTTGCGTTGCTATTTAATTTTATAATTTCACGATGATTTAAATGTCTGTCAGACAATCTGGTTGAAAACAAAGAAAACCTTTTTATTTATATTTAAAAAAAACCGCATTTTTTTAATCGTAAAGTTCATGTAGTGCCGTTACAATTGTAATGGTTTTGTTTGCGTGTCTCTTTTTCTCTTATTATAAATGATTAATAATAAGATATGTCCGTTGACGGTCACAACGACAAAAGACGATTTTAATTCGGTGAAAAACATTCAATTCATGGCCAAGCCTCTTTTTAATTCGTAATTTTGGCGATACATCATAAGTTATGTACGGTTATGTATAAACGCGTTCACAAACTGATACCATTTTTTTTTTTCATTTCATTTAACTAAAGCAATGGACACAAACAGTAATGCGTACCGAAATTTATTGAAGCGAAACTACTTTAATGGTTGTTTTGGTAACACTTGAACATTTAATATCTTGATTTCAATACATAACAATAATGACCCAAACACAAACAAACAATAGTGAAACGCATGAAACAGAGTGAAAAATATTTCGATTGAAAAATATTTCGGTTACAAAATGCTAGTTAAATGTTATTATTGTTATTTTGAGAAGGGAATATGTCAATGCAGTATTGTTTGGATTCTTCGAAGAAACAAAAAAAAGGTGTAATTAGGTGGAAAATTCATTAAAATTTCATCACTTCAAATACTCTTGTATGTTATCGCTCTATTGCACTCTGTTGCAATTCAAATATCAAAATATTTGAAATAGTAAGCGCATAAAATATGATTCATCATGTTTCACATAGTTCTTATGATGGTTTCATTGTTTTACTACTTGATTTATTGACAAAACTAGTTTTTTTTTTTCTTTTCGGCAATTTGGTGTTTGCCCACGGAATTATCGAAATTGAGCCATACACGGCACATATTTGCAAATATCCCACCAAACCGGTGAAATATATATATATACATGGATGTATAAATACCGGCCCAACAACAACCATAATAAAAACAGCAGTATGAATAACCCGGTAAACGAGCAATAATTAATTTAAGGAATGAACGAGATGGTAAAAATAACAACATGTGCAATGTTAACGATTAAAGTTCTTTGGTGAAACCAAATATAAACCGCATTTTTTTGTATTCATTCAAAAACGAACCACATGCATTCGTATTCAATGTATATGAGCCAGACGAAAGAAGTGCACAATGCTTATAAACCAGAAAATAAAAATTAAAGCAAAAAAAGTAAAAAAACGATCGATGATGTAATATAGTGTAATAAATATTGTACAGTAGCACAATGTGATGTGATTTCACTTGTAACACAAATGCATGAATGAATTCACCGACGTCAAATTAGCGACATTTTGTTAATTTTTTTATATTGAGAAAGACAGAAAAAAGAAAGAATAACAAGCAGCCGAAAATGATTGACGCCGTTAATAAAATTGGCACATATAAATGTTTACCCATTTTTATGTGTCAATGGTCATGCCCTCCATGACTCTATTACGACGCTCTAATGAAAACAATCAATTGCCATATTCAAAGCGTTCACATCGATTGGAATGCAAATCGTTCAACAGATCACAACCTTTGTTTCTCATATTTTTCTTTAAAAAAGACAGAAATATATTCGTTCCATCGATGCAGTATCAGGTCTTCTCAATGGATTACAAATAGACATTCTAAAATGAATGCTAAGAGCAAGAGTTCTCTTCCTACCACATTTCATCACAAACACGTTCAATTTATAATCCATAATTTAACGTTCGTCGCTTCATAATACTCGTTTTATATTTTAGACGGCTCTATATACAGTGGCTATTTATCCATTGATCGATTTAAAAGTGAATTTATTGTGAAATGCGTGTGAATGTATTACTAATGCAATGGAATTTCTACTTTTGAGTAGACGAGTGAATGTTGGTGGTTTCTTTTGTTGGTTGCTTGGTTTGGTATGTGTGCGAGTAAAGAGACCCCTTTTTGGTTTGTACACACTTTTTTTATCTCTCGCATCATTGCAGTCTGTTTGCAAAATACATGCAATATACTTCTTCACCATGCACACAGTTTGCCATTAAAGACTTTATGCATTTATGGTTTGTTGGTGTTGCTTTTTCTTTCTGTATCTGATTCTTGTTTCTGTGTTTTTTGTTGTTGTTGTTGTTCGGTTGGTCGCTCGCTTGCTCGGTTCGATGTTTAGCTTTTACAATCGATCATGTAATCGGTGCACAACACGTACAAATTGTACTGGTACAGTGTTTAAATGCCGAATGCAGACAAAGCAGACTTCAATGCAACACACTATAGAACATGGTGAATATTTGTCGCTAATTTTTGTCGGTATATAAGTGTACACTAATGCATTTTTTCCACCCATTTCTTACGATTTCAGCTATTAATCCAACAAACATGTGACTTTTACACATGGAAAGAAAAAATGAATACACGCGCGCGTATGGTTTCTATTTTATTGCATTGAAAGTGAATTAAATGATTGCACATCGAAAAAAAAATTTACTCGCTCTGTCATTCAAGCGGTGAACTGCTTTTTTTCGGCTGCGATTTACTTTGGACATCTTTTTCTTAATGCATTGCTTTAATTCAATCAAATCAAATATTTGACACGTGTTAACTTTGTCACATCTTGCAAAAATACTGGATATTTTTAAATGCCTCGCCTGAAAATAAATGATGAATTTTTCTTCATTTGTTTTCTCATTCGAATGAATTTCAATGTTAATCACACGAACACGATTCTGGCTGTTAACCTCAAGAAAAAGATGAGGAGAGAATAGAAAAAAAAAAATAATTGCGATAGTCTTTTGTTTCAAATGTTCAACTACGCAATCAGTGTGGCTTGCTCACAGCTTACATATTTTCAAGATGAATGCAATTTTATTCAAACACAGACGTTCAGCTTGGCTAGATGTTCAGTTGATGAAACAAGTAGATGCATCTGCAAACGTACACGTTTAATTTACTTAAACCAAATGGCAAACGCTAGCCACAGCCGGTAAACAATAATGCTCAACACTAGAATTTTTGACAAATTCTCTATTTTTTTTCAGTTTACTTTGTTTATCCAATATGATTGGACTTTGTTAAGCCAAAAAAGAACTAATTATCATGACTGAACTAAAAGCCACTGCGTATGTCTGCAAAAATAGAACCGAGAAAGTGCTGATTTGCACGATAGACTCACGTTGTTATTTATGCGTGCCACTTGACTTCTAAATACATTTAATTTCATTTATAATGCATTCGGTTGAATTTAGTTGTTGAAATTGCGCAAAACAACAAGTATTTTGAGCGATTTCTTCATACGTTGTTTTATTTGATTGCCTTCTTTTGTGCATGAGTTGTGTGTGTGCGAATTTTTAAGGCATTTTTTTTTTCAAAAACATTCCAATCGGCTTTGGTGCTGCGTAATGTGGTCAATTTGCCCAATTGATTTTACTCCACAAAATCAGTCGACCAAATGCAAATCTCTATATATATTAATTCGTAATTAAACTTTCACTTTTTGTATCAATTTGTGTTTTCAATGTGCGATTTTAATGTGAATTTTTGAATTTGAACACTTTTTATAAATAACTTTGTGCTGAAATTTGTCTAATTCATCGCTACCATAAACTTTGTTGATTGATGAATTTTTCAATCGTTAAGTAGTTAAAAAAACGATGGTTCTGAAAATGATAAAATTCTATAAAATGACAAGGCGAATTGTCAACACACAAAAATTATTATTAAATTACAATTACTTGGGTTGTGGCGAGAAAAAAAAAACTAAAATAAATAAAAATTGAAGTTATTCCAGGAAAAAAATGAAATTGATTATTCCATAGAATTTTTGTTTTTGTTTCTTTTTTAACAAACACAATGAAAACGTTCAATAAATGTTCAACGGTAACGTGAGAATAAACACGCGTGCAACACACAACTGATTCGAAATCCACTGAACAAATTTTTGTTTACGATAAATTTTGTGGCACGATGTTAAATAATGAATTAGTTACAAACCGAATGCTGTCGAATTTGTATGCGCTATAGCTGGAAACACCAGAAAGACTGAGGTGTCTAGCAAAATTCCAACGCAGGTATATTGGCAGCAGTAAATTTTACAACAAGCGTTTCTTGTTTCTTTTCGCTTTAATTTTTGATGTTGCTGTTGTATCTGTTGTTGCTGCCATTGCCACCGTTGATGCGTTGGGCCTGTGTGATTGCCGCATTTTTTTTATTTTTTTTTCATATTTTGTTGTTGATTTTTTTGCGATATACATTGCATACGGCCTTTGCCATACATGAAGCAGTAAAATGTACTTTATTATTACGTTTTAGTGTTGAATCAGTTAACACGATGTGTATGTGTACATTGCGTATGTGTATTGCAAACGATGGTTTGATCCATTCTCTTTCATGTGGTATTATTGTTGTAGTGCTACTTCTTGCTTTTATGCATTTCATTTGCCGAGTTTTGCGCTTTGGCATGTCTGCCATCTCTCTAAGATCATCTCTTTATACATATTTTGGCTGCTAATACAGTTGAAATTGAGGCAAACACATTTCAATCCGAATGTGGTTTCTTTGAAATTCAATAACTTAATGGACTTCAAATTCGTTAATGATATTCAGCAGAACACTCCGTGGTCAATTTCCGCAATACTTTCAATCACACACGTTCCACGTCTATTGACAGACATTCTTTTTTTTTATTGTTAACAAAATAATAATAAACGATCTATGATTGCGCCATAAATTGCATTTAAAATGCCATTAAATCACATTTAATTATATGAGATAGGCTCACATAAAATCAACTGAATTAACTTTGAAAGGCTAACAAATTTGAATTTGTGATATAATGGTGGCATAACCATCTCTATCGTGCAATTTGAACGAAATTATATTCTCTTTGTTCTGGCACAGCGTCATTGTGATTGGTTGTGATTTAATTCTTGCATAAAATACGTGTTTATGCACGAATTTGGTGAATTGAATAGCGCATGGTATGGCGTAAAAGTGAAGCGAATATATTTTGATTTTAGCGAAGCAGATAAAATGGAAAAATAGCGAAACCAAAACTGGTCGCATCAAACGGGCAATACCATTTAATTTTGAAAAAGAACAACAAACAAACATCTTTGTTTCATACTATTCTACATTTGGTAGAGAATTTATAACGCTGAAGGCTTCAAACTAAGCCTTTATAACCTTGAAATCAAATAAAATCATTGACATTTTTTTGTTGTATCCTCGCATGGGCGTACACTCCGCCAAAATTCATGCAATGACGGAAAAATGATTTTAGATGTGCATGCTTGTAATAATGCACAATGTTTATGTGGCAGGTTTTAGGTTGTGTGCGTTTATATTTAATTTAGTTGCGATTTTTCCAATCATATTATCAAATTTGTTTTGAGTATGTTGATAGTTAATGCGCTAAAGGAAACCAATACTTCATCATAATTGATGTGAATGAATATTCAATGAATGCGCCTGTCATTTTCGTGAAAATGTGATCAATGCACATAAATTTGATGTAATGAAATGAACAAGCAAATGTTGATGAAAAGGCTATACATGAAAATCGAAGCGTTTGTGCTGCGAATATTACAGGTTTACCATTTTTCCGGCCGAACGAGATGTTATATATATATATAAAATGCTTGTACAAAATTCTAAATTGCTTTGGCGCGCCTTTTACGACCAACCAAGTACCACCAACATTACCAACAACAAGCAAAATTCAATAAAATTCCTTGCATCAAGTGCTTGTCGCGTTGCTAGCATTCTATGTTTTCAAGTGTACATACAAAAGTACACATACACACACATTGGCAAACAAATGAGCGCACGTCTATCGTGTATACTTCGACACCGTTTTGAATTAATCCAAAGTATTTTGCTAGCAAAACACTTGAGCATATGGAAATTGTGAATAAAATTTATTTCTTAAATTTGTTTGGTAAATATTCAAGCAGATTTGTTTGCCGCATTCTCAAATACGAAAGATACGATTTACTGAATGCGCGTATGTATTTCATGAAATCCGTTCCGACGGTCTCATGAGCGTTTCACATATACAACATACAAGCGCGCACCTTACACGCGAATCAAATCATCTCGTTTACTTACACGGATTTTATTTGTTTCGCCGTACTGGCACATAATAACACTCATTTTGCATATTTAAATCATGTGCAAAACAGCAAGCAATGTGAAAGAATGCGTTTCCGTTTGCTAAGCATATATGCGATACCATTTTTTTTCATCTTCTTCATCTCCCATGTATGAGGTATGAAGGTAATGTGATTATGCGTTGCTATTCAAATCGCTCATTTGATGTGCATATAAAATAAATGCGTAATGCAAATGAGTGTTTGTTTTTAGTTAAAAAAATAATATGGCGACACATATACGCACCATTATCAACGACCAAGTCCATTCCATTGACAATAGTCGGCTCATTCGCTTCGTTCATCAAAATCAGTTAGATTCATGGCAGCATTCTTGAGCACCTGATCAACGGTTATGCCTTATTCAAATGATAGAGCCCTGTAAATCAATGACAAAAAGTGTTGGCCGGAAAATACAAAAACCTTTGTTTGGCCAAATAAAACTGAAAGCAAATTGTGTGGCACATCTCGTGTCATCAGCAAACCGTATTTACACCATTATATCCGAAGTGTTGTAAGCGCGATGAGATTTTCAACACTTCAACGGAAGCATTCGATGTCAGCTTTTAAATATGCCATAGAAAATATAAGTCGATTTGGATGACATTTACATTCGTGCATCGTGGATCGTGAATATGGATGTGTGATGTGGTACATTCACACGCACATCGCGAATATGAAACGTTAGAAGACCTTTTAACTTTATTTGGTTTCCACCCCATCTTCCCCCCCCCCCCCCCCCCCCACAAACACACATTCACATTCAACCGTTGTTTAGCTTTAACTGATTTTATCCTTTGCTACTAACTATGTTATATCCCGTTGTCGACAAACTCATCGACGGACTCAATTCAATTACAACTACTACTGTTGTCACCGCGCTGCTACTGCTGCCAGATGCCAAAGCTACTGTAAAAGGGTTCGATGTATTTTGGTTATTATTTGCTAAAGCCATTTATGTTTCGTTTGGTGCTAAATGATTTGTGTGACTTTAAAATTGAATAAGTATTTTAATGATTCATCCCCGTTTCCTACGCAACGACAGAGAAAATTCAATTGAATGAGAAAATGCCATTTTGGCAAGTAGTTTATGGCGATAAATGCGTATTTGTTGGTTAATTTGTGTGTAGGTATATATTTATGTTTCGAAAAGCGTTCAACATTTTTGAATGGCAATTATTTGCTCTTTCATGCCAATTATTGAATTCAATTGAATCAACAATAAAAATAAAAAAAAAGAAATGAAATTTGGCACTATACTCATCATCAAACTATTTGGTCGGTCATAACACTGGACTCTGTTTGTCACATTCATTTTATATTTAGTTCATATCATAAATGCCAATGCTTGTTGACCGCACCAATATAAAATCTGTGAGTGTATTTGTATGTATCAAGCTTGTGGGTTTTGTTGATGATTCAATCGGTCTACGGATATGAACAAAAATCTTAATTTCTTTAATAAATAGTACATTTAATACTCAATATAGATATTTTACCATAGAATATATACGATGAATGGATATGTTCGTCGACAAATAGCCAACAATGGAATTCAAATGCGTCAATTATTATGTGATATACGGAGGGGGAATGTGATAAAATCAGTTATTCACATATTCACAAAGAAATCGATTGAGAATGATATCGTATAATATCTCAATGTTCATCTATTCAATATTCATGTTGCCAACGAAACGCAACCAAATATTCTGTAATATTTCATTCGAATTCTCTAAACGACAATTAATAAATCAACGATTATTCGGTAGGCAAAAAATTCATAATTTTTTTTTTCTCAAAAGATATCAATTATTCCATGGAAACTCTCTCTCTCTCTCTATTTCTTTATCTTTATCTTTCTCATTCCCCTTTTATGTCTCTTATTTCTTCTTCTCCTTCTCTTTGCCTGGAAAAGATATAATGGACAAATTCGGTGCGCTTAGTTCAATTGTGATTTTACGCTTCTTACAAAAAAAGACATAGCATAATGGAGAAGAGGCTATGGAATGGGACATTACGTTCGTCGATGCTGTTGCATAAAATTTCATAAGCGATTGGCATGCGAGTGACACAGACACACACGGCAAGAATATTCATGAAATCCAAAATACCGATTCAAAGTGAATGTGAGCAATAGAGAGGGCTTGAGGAAAAATTCTCAAAGCCTGAAATAACCTACAAACAGTCATCAATCTTCTTTTTAAATACAATTTATTATTTTTTTGTGCTCTGCGGTTTTGCTTGTAAATAAACCGAAATCGTTGAAGAAAATACTTTGAATTAGAGAGAGAGAGAGAAGAGTAAGCAATAGACTCGTTTGTCTGCTGATGCGACACACAGGCCTCTTCTTCTTCATTTTCTTCTTCTCCTTGAAATGATGGCAGCAGTTAGGGATGGATCGTTTTTAGTGGTGACTTT